TATATATATATATATATATATACATATATATATTGTACAAACAATATATTTAAAAAAAACATTTTGCATTTACCTGAAAGTACATTTTGTAATCAATTTGAGAAATATATTTCCTTAAGCTACTTTCTCTTTGCGGCATTTTCTCTTTGCAATAAATTATTGGCTGTATGGGACTTGTATACAGTATATATAATAATAATCAGTAATACTTAAACACTTCATTTATTCTTTGAACCGTAAAGAAATTCTAATTCAAGCATGCTTTCTAACTGTCTTGGTAGTACAAAAGTTTAGCCGTTCATAGTCATCCACCAAGGAGTTAAAAGCCACTCGACTTTCTCAGTTTGGTTAATGATTAATCACAGCGAAACTAGGCTGGCTGTTAACAAACAGACCATATCAGCAACACATTCAACCTTGTGACTGAATTATCACCAGTGTCGCACAGGCCACTGAAACTATTAAAGGATATATGACTTCAAAATACACCTTCAAACCGCTCCCAGTCTTCCAAAATAAAAAGATCTAAATTGACTATCACAAACTATTTAGAAGAATTAAACTGCTTGCCCCATATACGGTTGCTGGGATGCTAGAGCCTATGGACAATTAAACGTATGAGCATTTCCACTGCAAAGTACTTGGATGCTGTTTGCTTTGGAGACTAGCAATAAGCCTGACACTGGCCTTTTATTTTCATCCCCTTAGGCAAGACACTTCATGCCATTTTGATCTGGGTGTGCCACTTAATTAGTGACCATGTGTTTCTTCCTCCATGCAGCACGTCTCAACGTAGGTGTAATGAGGAAACTTACCCAATCCTCCACATCTCTGCCCTCAGTTCCTCCCATTAGTGGTCGATCCCAGTAGATGTTTGGTTTCCCATAGTGCCAGATTTTACTTCTGGTCCTATAGGAGAAGAAGGCCGCCACAGCCAGTGCCACCACAACCATGAACCCACAAACCATTGCAACTGCCTGCAAACGACAAAACTGTAGTGTTAAGTCCAATGTCTCAAATCAAAGAGTTTTTTTTTTCTTAGTTTTTGTTTTTAGAAGGTTTTTGAAAATCTTTATGAAATCTGTTTGAATCAAAACGTTTTGGTTACACGGACTTTCAATGGAGGGACGAAAATCTCAGGTTTTGATAAAAATATCATAATTTGTGTTTTGAGGATGAACAAAAGTCTTATGGGTTTGGAATGACATGAGGGTGAGTAAACATGACAGAATTTTTGGGTAAACTTACCCTTGAAATTACGATTTAAAGGGACAATTCACCCAAAAATGAACATTCTGTCATCATTTACTCACCCTCATGTCGTTCCAAACACGTATACATTCCTTTCTTCTGCTGAACACAAAAGAAGATATTTTGAAGAATGTTGGTAACCAAACAGTTGCTGGTAGCCATTGACATCCATAATTTTTTCCCCCATAATATGGAAGTCAATGGCTACCAGCAAGTGATTTGAGGGTGAGCGAATGAAGACAAGACTTTTCATTTTTGGGTGAACTATTCCTTTAACATCACTAAATCAACCTAAACACAACAGATTACAGCAACAAAATAAAATATAAGGGTTAGATTAGATCAGGCTTCCACTGTAAGTGTAAATGCACTTCCTGTACTGATTTACACACTGGAGGAGTTGAAATTATGGTCTATGGCAATCCTTTGATTGTAGACTATAAAGAAAACATAAATTAAATGTAGTCTCTAAAGACATTTCGAAACATCCTGTAACTTTAAATGGTACCTCTTGAGGGTCCACGTAGCAGTAGTGGTACAAGTACTGGTTATAGAGGGGAAAGCCGGCCCCCATTCCTGTCACACTGCTGCCATAGAGGTTCTGACACATCAGAAGCATGGGGTTGTAGTATGAGCTGGTGGAGCTCTGGGCCATAGGGTTCACTCCTACAATGTACACAATGTTTATAATGCCCTGAATCACAGCCATTATAGAACAAATAACAAGCACCACCAGGTAGAACTTCCTGCTGCGGAACGTGTTTGTTTTGGAGAAGCTAACTGCAAAGAATCCCAAAGCAATGATGAAGTTTATGGCGGCAATGGCGATCATACTGGTCTTTGCCGAGTAAGGGGTCGGGTAAGAATTGTAGTAGCTTCCGTATCCATAGCCACTTCCGTATCCGTAGCTTCCGTATCCATACCCACTGCCGTATCCACTTCCGTATCCAGGATAGCTGGAATATCCAGATCCGTAACCAAATCCGTACTGCGTGTCCCAAGCCAGAGTCGAGGCCACACAGGCGAAGATTCCCAGACAGAGGATTATAATGGTTCCCATCATAATCTTCACAATTCCCGGAGGGGAGAACCATTTGTAGAAGTGCTGTGGCACCTCCTCGCCCAAATAGTAGGATCCTGGAGGTGGAGGGTAGGGATCGAATTCACTCCGTGGGTCTTGGAAACTCCCCGGTGGTCCAAAGCCATTGGAAGGTGGGGTGTACATCGGGGGACTGTCGTAGGGTTGTTTCTCAAACATCTCTCAAAGATGTGCAATGACCTGCTAAAAGAAGCAAATTAATTTATATACATGAATATCATCACTCAGGTGTTACAGGCAGATAGAAAATGTAACAGGTTCTTTATTTTTTGTTTAAGACCAATTTGTGAAATAATTTCTTTAGAAGACTGTTTAAAAGACAATAAATAAATAAATAAAATAACACCATAAATGTAGCCCAATTCAACCCATGCACTATACTCCAGACTGCGGTGTACAATAGCTTTACGTAAGGAAAAGATCTAAATTTATGTAATTATTAATTGAAAAAAAAAAAAAATCCATGGCAAAATAATAATATAATAATTTAAAAAATGTATTTTAATAATTAATTTTAAAAAATGTTCAAAAATTTAAGTAAAACTTGTATTAACTGAAATCATATTAAGTTTTTAAATGTATGTGAACTTTATATAAATCATATGAATTTAAACACCCTGTTCAAATGTTTGTAACATTTTTAATGTTTTTGAAATAAATCTCTTATACATATACATATATATATATATATATACATA